TTCTATTATTATTTTTTAATTTTAATGAACTTTAAAATATTTAAAAAAAGTTATTTCGAAATATTTCGAAATATTTTTGAGTTCTTCAAATAATTTCTTAATTTATTTCATCTGATTTGCACTCCACATATTTAGATAAATTCTTTCACTATATTTCAAAATATTTTCACTGTGCAATAATTTTGAAAAAAATTTTTCACAATATTGCGAAAAATTTTTCACAATATTGCGAAAAATTTTTCATAGTGCAATAATTTCGAAATTTATTTTGCAATATTTTGAAAGAATTTGCATTTCGCAAAAATTTCAAAATTTCTTTCAGATTATTTCAAAATTTTTGCATTATGCAAATTCTTTCGAAATATTTTGCATCTATAATTTTGCTGATGTATACTGAATAAAAAAGCTTTAGTTCCAAAAAACTAGTTTAACTATAAAAAAAAATAAAAAAATAAAAAATTTATTTAGTAAAATTTGAAATTTCTGCATAGTATGTTAATTATTTAAAATAACTTTAATAAAAGACAGTAATAAAAATATTAAGTAGTTTTATATTATTAACTTATAAAAAATAATTAGTTTAAAGTATGATAACCTAGTAAAGTAGTCAGATTATCAATCTTTTAAATAGTAAATTGGATGCTCAAATCTTATTGACAGTAAAAAATTTAAATAATTACTTATATAATATTTATATTATAGCAACTGTTATTAACAATTGGGTTAGGATATCTGTAATAGTAATTACACTAGCATAACTGGCAGGTTATAGAGCATCTGTATAACTTGTTACATAGAGAAATACAAACTAACAAATTAGGCAATGCAAACACTAGATAAGTCCTTGTGGTCATGTAAATCTATTGAAATTAAATAACAAGAAGTTTATTTGCAAAGATTCAAGTAGAGAGATAATCAGATTTTTAATGGTTCTACTATAAAGGCTAGCTTAAAAAAATGGATACCAAGGTTGTAATATCTAGTTGTAGTAGTTAGACAGGCAAGAACCTCTAAGTTGGAAGTCTTGAAAGTACTACTAACTAGGCTACTAGAATGAACTAAAGAAAAAGGATATTGGACTAATTTAATATACTAATGAACTAGTTATAGTTTTATATAAACTATCTGAATTAGAAGTTTGGTAAAAAGGCTAAACAAAAGGCAAGAGTATACTAAAGTATCAGAGTTATGCTATAAAGTAAATGCTGGGACCTGTATAAACTCTACAAGGACATAACAGCTAAATAATATAACTCTAACTACAGGTGTTAGTTCTGTCATAGCAATACTTAGCTTAGCTGTAAAAATAAGTACAGAAGGTTTTGGAAAGTTTATCTTAAGGATAAATTAGTTCTAAAGTTAAAACAATGATTTAAGCATTTAGATATGATCTAGTAAGTTAATACAAATTACAAAATTAAATAGTTTAAAGTAGAATATTCAAGCAAAAGTATTAGGTATAGCAATTGGTAGAGAACTTTCAAGTGAACTCTTTAAGTAGATAATATAAAAAAGTTATATATATAGCCAATTGTACTCTTTTCTGTAGTAGTTTATAAAATTATATTACTAATAAGTAATTAATAAAAGTCAAAAAACCAAAGAGATCATGTTAATACTAAAAAAAAAACAAAAAAAAAATAATTAGTTTGTTTTTAATTTTCTAGTATTTAAATAAATATATTAATCTGTAGCAATTATTTAAGTCAAAAATTATAAAATAAATTATCTATTTGTGAAATAAGATTGTTTTTTATAATATTAATTTTTGCAAAAAATATATTATCAAATAATAAGAATGGCTAATTAATTGAAGTTTAATTAATTGTTATATTTATATTATTTATTTAAATACAAATTTATTAAAAATGTATAAAATATTAAAGTTATATAATTTAATATCTGTTTTTTATTAAAATCTAATATTAGAATTTATAACATTAACAATTTATTTAACAATCTTTAAAAGAGATATATTAAGCTTTTAAATATTAGCTTTCAATTATTTATAACTTTACTATTAACAATTAGACATTATACAATATTAATAGTTTAATAATAGTCAATAAGTTTTAATAAATTCTAATTTTATAGTTATTAACTCAAATGTTTAGTGCTCAAATTACATTAATTTATATAAATTCTAAAAACCTTTGTATATAGTTTAAATAAAGAATTTATAACTAAAATAATTTTTATATTTTTTGTTATTTATTTAATAAATAATAAAAATTTTACTTAGTTTATATTACAAATAAAACTGTCAGAGCTTTAATTCTTGTATATAGTTTTTATTTTGTAGTTTACAATCTTAGTATATCTTAGTATATAGTATATTAATATGTATAACTAAAATTACTAATAAAGATATGAGCAAGGCCTTATTTTAATATTAAAAAAATAATAATAATAATAAAAATTTACTATAATGATAACTATAATTATATTATATTTTGCAAAATAAAATACTTCTTATATTAAATATTGTAAATCTTCTTTTTGAATTCTTGTTGTATACTAATATAAACATGTATTAATTGTAATATTTAATTTTTATGTATAAAAAAATTGCATTATACATATACAAAGATACTTTATTTTGCAAAATATATACAAATTATAATTTTTTATAACAATATTAATTTTATTATTTTATTAAATTATTCTCAATAGTTATATAAAACATTTTTGCTAAAATATATACAGTTATCCTTCTATATAATTACTTAGTTTGTCTAACACTTTTTGGTAATTGTATAAAAAGATGATTAAATAGAATTATTTCTATATAATTACACAATATACAATAATATATATAATATGACTTTAAAAAAGTAAATAAGTAGAATTATTTAGCAGTTTACTATTATAGTACTTGTTATATAACTATTAAGTATTTGTGCATAATAACAGACAGGAGTATTAATTTGAAATTTGCCTTTTCAGAAAATTATTTAAATTATATTTATGCGCATTCTGAAATAAAGTGCACTAACTTTTTTGTAACTTAATTAGTAATATTTTGTTTTAAATCGATTAAAAATGTATATTAATTAATTAGTTTATAATTTATTACTTCATATATTGTAGTATTTGCTATTAGTAATTGTTAGTAGTATTTTTGCTAGCCCAACTTTGTCAATTTTCTTCTATTCTAGCAATTGATTTGGCTGTTTGCTTAGAGGCTATGATGATAGTTATTACTTATTTGTTTTAGAAAAAACATAGTCTGTTAAAACAATGATCATAATTTGAGTTTTTAAAAGAATTTTCTTGTATTAATATATAGTACTAATCTAATTTTTGATTTACATTATAATTAGTAAGTAGCACTCATAATAAACAGTAGCATCATGCATAAGTTGTCTATTTAATACTTTCAAATTCTGCACTATTAGTAGGCATATTACAAAAGCAAAAAGGAAAATACTCATAGTTGTTATATATCTAATAACAGACAATGTATTTTCTAATAGAACAATAACACTCATGTGTTATAAGATTTAAGAAAAAAATAATGCACAGAAGGGCATTATTATATACAAATATGATGAATTGTTTTTAGTGAAATAAATTCTAAACAAATTCTAAACTTCAAAAAACAATTGCCATTTGTATAATTAGAAAAGTGCATATGTACCATTTGATTAAATAAAGATTATTAATAAATTTTTAAGATATTAGTAGGCCAAAGTTTGGAATTTGAATGTAAACAAAAGTTGTATGTGTAACTTTTATAGTCTTAACTGATTTTAATAACTTTACTATTAAATCACAAATTTTTGTTAGAAGTTCTAAAAAATTAAAAAATTATTTAAAAAAGAAAAAAAGAATAATAATATAGCCATTCATTTAACATGAATTGCCATTTAACAATTAATCTTAAGATAAAATATTTGCTATATTTATTTTACTAAATAAACTCAATATTTAAATTTATATTACAAAACAATAACTGAAACTCTTACTAAAGACTAAAAAAAAATTGTGTTAACTAATATAAAAAAAAACCAACATTAATCTGCTAAACCAAATGCTAAAAAGATATTGAAAGTCCTAGAATACCAATTTGCTTTATAATAATAGAACAATAATTTTATGCCATTGATGGTTATAGAAAGCATAATAATTTTATATTACTGATAGTTAAAAAGAAAAGAAAATTCATCTAGTAATAGTAGTCCAGAATTCTGAAAAGCTTGAAACAAAAACAGTGTATTGTAAATACAGATTTGATAATTAAAGTCAAATTCAAAAACCCAATAGCAGGATTTACCTTTTATGTATATATTAATATGTTTAAATTTCAATTTAGATTCTTCAATTATACAATTTTAGTAATTTTATATAACAGGTTTCAAATTTTTTTTTTAAAAAAAAACCTGCTAACAGACAAAAAAAAAATAAAAATAAAAAAAAACCTGCTAATAGTCAAAAAAAAAAAAAAGAATCAATAACTCTGTTATTAATCATAAACAGGAAAAAAAAATTAGTAATAAACTTTTGTTTTAGCAATTCAATATATTTTCTTTTGATTAATGATAAGTATTTTCCAAAAACTTTAAAATCCTTTATATTAAAGTCACAACTCTTTTTGCTCAAAAAAGCCAATAAACTTTGTTAGTCCATTTAAGCCTTCTGTAATAGGGATTTCAGATGGTTCCTCATTAGTATTGTTTGCATCACTTTTTTTGAATTTTTATTGCTCATCTAATACAATGTTAATAATTTTCTTTTCATTAAGAAGATTTTCAGTAAGTATTTGAGAATCATTCATGTTGTTGAATTCATTTAGTTGGCATTTAATTGTTGGATCTGACAGATTTGTCATTAGGTCTATAATTAATTCATCAACTTCATTCTTTTCTACATCTTCTAGGTCTTGAACAGTATAAGTAGAATCATCAATTTTAGTATCTAATAATAAAAAAAGAATTTCTGTTTTTTTTCAGCAATTCATGATAGTAGATTCTTCAACTTTATTCTATGATTCTGCAATATAATATATTGCATCTCTGATGTTTAATTTATTTTTGTACAAAATAAAAAGAGTATCAGTAAAATTTTTTAATTTTATAAAACCAATTAGATTAAAATTAAAAATCTAGATGTATAAATAACTTATTCGAAAGTAGACCTATATAAATTAATCCAAGAGCAAACTACAGTTTATTTCAAATAACTAAATCTTCTATTATAAATACAAAGTATGTATACATTTTAAAATTTTTATACTATAGTCTGTAGATGCTATCGTAATTCAAAAAGAAAATTTTAACAATAAAAATGATTAGTAATTATCATTAAAATTTCTTTTTTTGAATTATGGCAGCAACTATTATAGTTGTGCAACAAGCCTGGCTTTTGTATATATATTACATTTATGCAATTAAACATCTATACAAATTTTATAAGAAAAACAAATATGATATATTTTATTTATTTTGATTACCCAGTATGACAAATAAAAGTGAATGAGTAATGTACATAATTTTGATTTTTTATATAAAAAATCACATCACATATATAAAGAAAATTAGATATTTTCTTACTTTCTTAAATCTTTGCCTCTTTTGAACTGATTTAATACATGCTAAATATATATTTTTTTATATTTAACTTTAAAGCTATTGATAACTTCTGCATCTATTAGCTGAAGGTGAGCTGTAGTATTGGGTAGTAAAAATTTAATTCAGATATTTGTTAAATAAATATTAGAAGGATTTGGAATAATATAGAGATGATCAGTGCTATAATAATCCTTGCTATATTCATGCTCATGTCTATGTCTATATTCACATTTACATTCATGCCCATGACTACACCACAAAGAGAAGTTCATCCTTTTAGCTTATTAATGCTATTAGCATTTAATATCAGATGGCTATATCGAGTATGTAGGTTATTAGATGAGCTTGCATAGGTTTTTTTATTTAACTCTTCACTTTTTAATTCTTCATCTTCTTTATTTTCACTTTCTGATTTATTATTACTTGATTCTTCTTCACTACTCAATTTTTTATTAGAATTATAATGACTCTTTGCACCATCAACTAACAACAAAATTTGCTGATTTGCTGAATGAAACTTCTTATCAAGTTTTGTAAGCTATTTATAGAAGATATCAGTTCTTATTCAAGCCATTAAATTTACATAATTTGTTACTAATAAGGTATCATAATTTAAGTAAACTAAAGCCTTAGGTTTAATGAATAATCTAATTACAATTGGTTATAACTTTTCAGTTCTAGTCACATTTGTGGTTAGCATGACTATAATATATGTATGATTCTAAAGATAAATTATGACTAAAATTAATAACAATAAACTTAATAAATCTACTATTTTACTAAGTTGTATTTATGCTTGCTACTCAAATCTTAAGCTATTATAGTTTGGGTTTGTTCTAAACATATAGGCAAATTGCTATAACTTGCTATAACTCATTATAGTTATAGAAAGTTATATTAATCTGCCTACATATTTAGTTTGATCATACCCAATTCCAAACTAGCCCAATTAATATCTCAAAAACTTTATTAAAAATTTTTATTTAAGCAAATAATATACAAAATATAAGGTTATTTTTTGATTTGATTTTTTATTAATGGCAATTATTTTTGAAGTTTGGGATTTTGTACAGATTTGCTAAAAAGTATAAAATAAAACAAATTATAAAAAACCTTTTTCTATTCTAATTGTAGTTGTAATATAAGTGTTTGATGCAATGCTATTCTAAAATATAAACCTGTTTTATCTACATTAAAAACATTATTTAGAGAATATTTTTCAATTATTTTATATAACTTAGTTTTTTGTTTTGAAAGTAATTCTAATAGCATACTATTAGTCTCTCTATATAATCGATAGTTTCACAAATTATTTCTCTTCTTAAACTTATAAACTCAATTATTAGAAAATTTTAATATATTGTCTGATAAGGCTAGTGTCTAGGCAAAAAAAATTGCTTTTTTTTTAATAATTGCTTCTGCCAAAATGATTTGACTATTTACAACCTGCTTAACCTACAACTGCATAGCTTTATCTAATAAAAAAAATTTAACTCTTTTATAATGAAAAACATCTATGTTGGCTTTATTATTAGTAATTGCCAACTATTTATCTTTTTTTTTTTAAATCTTTAAAATAGTTAAACATTCAAGATTTAATATTGAATTTTTTTAATTAAAATATTGCATAATATTTAAATATGTTTCATTTTGATAATTATTACTATATCACAAATTTCATGTTTTAAACAGCTACTAATAGCTATTCTTGTCTTTTTCTTGATATTTCTGAACTTAAAACCTTTTAGAAAAAATTTTATTTATAATAAAATAGTAAAACTTAATTTATAGTAAAATTTTATCTACACAAATTTTGCTTATAGCAAAAATTAAACACAGTTAAACCTGATCCTAAAAATCTTCATTGTATGAAGTTTTACTTATAATAAATTTAATTCTTGATTTATAGCAAAACTTGACCTATAATAAGTCTTGAACATGACAAAACTTGAACACTATTGTTATGTATAGTATAAATAAAACTCAATTAAAATACAACCAAATTTAGGAAATTTAGTAAATTATAATAAGCAGCAACTCTAGTATAAGGAAAAATCTGAATATAATTGCTATAAGAAGTGCAGTATAAGAATCTTTGGCATAAAAAATTGTGTGTATATTTGAATATATTAAAACAGAAAAAGCCAAATATCTAATATAACAAAACTAGTTTACTAGTGCTTAAAAAAAAAAATTTTTATAGCCCTAACCTACCAGTACTCCAAAATTATAAAGCATGTAGTTCTTTTATTTTTTCATTTGGCTAGTTTTAGCAGATAGAAAATAGCACTACTAGTTAATTCTATTTTATAACAAATTAAATTATTTTTGGCATTACCTTTGTTCTAAATATATATCTGTTATATAATGCTGTTGTGGCTCTTGATGATCATGAATTTAACTGATGACCAAATAAAGTCAACTACTAATATCTTAAATATGAAGGTAAGAATTTATTAACATAACTGATATTTTACTTAAAATGAAAGAAAAAGTAATTTTTTTATTTTTCTCATATTCTTTATATATAATACATTTTTTAATTTATTACATTACTTACATTACTAACTTTTTATTAACTACTTATATATTTACTGATTATTATCACAAATTACCTTCTAATCTGACAATTATGATTGAACCATGTAATCATAAGACTACAAATTTGAATACAAAACCAATCCAAATGTGATAAGTATTTAAACATTTTTTTGTATTTTTTTTTTCACTACTAATTCTTCTTTTTAAATCAAGTTCTTTTCAATCTAGTATTTGGATTCTTAATTTGACTATCTGGATTGATCTTTAAATACAGATAAATTTAGACATCCAGATCAAAGATTTTACTTGGATTGGTTAAAGAACTTAAATAATAGACATAAAGATGTACTCAAAGCTAGCTTTATATCTAATTTAACACAGATTCAATTCTTATTTAATAAAATTTAAATGGTCTGTCAAAGATAGAATCAGAACACTACTTCAACTATATGTCATATACTATAAATACAAATGCATCTTATCAGTTATAATTTTTGTTTAGCCAATCATGATTATGCATTTATGATCAATAAAAAAATTGTAATTATAAGAAAGTATTTTTTTTAATAAATTGGATTAAAAAATGTTTAAAAAACATGATAGTAATAATACTATTGATGTGATTATATAAAGATATTTTTAATATATAAAAAAATGACCATACAAAATTGTGTGATTGTATAGAGTTTGTGATTATATAGAAGGTAATTATATAAGAGATGATTATATTTTAAAAATATTTTTATAATTCTTAAAATTTTTAAATATTTTCATGTATTTTTGCTTATTTTTAAATAACTTTACAATTTTTTATATCTTTATAAAATTATTTGCTGATATTATTAATATTTAATTTAGATTTATCTGATAAAAATCAAGATACTGAAAAAGAATTATAAAACATTTTTTTTGTTTTTATTATTTTCTAATAATCTTTATTTTTTTTAACTAAATTTGAGTGAATTAGAATATAAAAATTTAACATTTAAATAAAATTTGTTGTTTTTTGTTTTATTTACTAATATATCTTTTTAAGTTTTCAGATTATTCAAAACTGAGGGTGTGGATCCTATAGCTTAGCGGTTAAGCTTCCATGCCCCCACAGTCAAGGTCAACAGTTCAAGTCCGGCTGAAGGCAAAATTAAAAAAGATTTTAGCCTCTGTAACCCAATAAGGAGCCAGTAATTGAATGCGAAGCCCTGTGGTTAAGTCC